ATAGGCTTGTCTGACACAGGTGAGAAGTGTGTTGACGAAAATTCGTGGTCGGTCGGATAGATAATTAATTTCAAGCTTAATTAATTTGAGTATATATTCAGTAGCGGCCATAATATAAGGAACGGAAACAACAAAGACATAAATATGTGTATTATTTAAAAAGTAATGCATGATTAGCAAAGAAATTTTTACCGAATAAAGATTAGTGTTTAATGCATAAATATTATACAAAGTTACAAAAATTTATATAATAGTTTTTTTTTTTTTTTAAATAAAGATGAAATGGAACAAAGGAAATGAGCTACTGGACAAAAGTTAAGGAACGATGTTAATAATTTGCATAAACTTTTAATTTACATTGTTAAAACCTCGATGGAGCTTTTCAACAATAAGTAAAAGTTTATTTATCATTAGGACTATTTTCTAAAATCTTGGTTGAATAAAATATACAAATTTTGAAGTATTTATTCTTGGGATTAATGTACGTCTTGGTTGAGCTAGTTCATGGTGAGTTTCTATTCGAGATACAAAGCTAGTCGTTATTCATTTGAATGCTACAAATCTAAAGAATAACCTGCTTAAATTAATTTATTACACGTTGCTGGTATGAATTTCTATGTTTTCATTTAGCGGATTCAATTTAAAAACAAAAATATATAAGACGTTTAATATACGACATTTAATATACGATTTTAAAATAAAATAATCAAGCAAATTAAAGCACATTTGATTTTATTTCCTTCACTTTACTTTGCTTATTCACTCCTGAAGATGACACAGTGAGTTGAAAGTTTGTACGCAGGCTTTGTTTTCTGATAGATTTAGTACCTGTAGTAGCCAGGTTTATCAAAGGTAATTCGAAGTTTTGAAAAGACGATGGATAAATTTAGTAGAGGGGGGATGTCTCTCCTTTTTAATGAACTTGTTTAGAAAAACAATTCCTGTCTAATCATACTTTATATATATATATATATATATATATATATATATATATATATATATATATATATATATATATATATATATATATATATATATATATATATATATATATATATATATATATATATAATAGTGTTTTAAAGTCATTTTACTTAGAGGCGAAGTCTGTTCAATGCTATATGCAATCGTCAGGCAAAATATTGCATATAGCATGAAACAGACTGTCGCCTCTATGTTTTGACTTTTATGTTCAATTTTTATATATTTACACGTTCTATCTCTGATATTGAGCACTTTATTCCATAAATATAGCATACCTTAAGACTATGTTTCTTTATATATATATAGTTATTATACGTTATTTATATAGACAAAAATATTTAAGTAAATGCTCTGTTTATAATAAACAGTATAACATTTACCGGCCTGAATGACCGAGAAATTTCATAGAAAATATGCACCTCCAACAAGAACCGAACCTGTATCCTACACGGAACCGTCATATAGCCTGACATGATATACATACCAGTTTAACTACGAAGGGAGCGTTAGAAAGGTCGATGTTCCCACGATTTCCCTAGAATGTTCTTATCTGCTTGAAGAGTACCTTAACGTAAACAAATGGCGTCATATGTTATGAAATGGACTAAGTCCGGTAGGTATTTCAATATGGATATATATAAGAATAAAATATATTAAAGAGAAAAGACTATTTTAACCGACGCGTTACCTTCTCTGAGAGACATTATGCGGTAATTTCATTGGCTTATAAAGTCCCTTAGAATACGAAACGAGTCGGCTAAGAATGTTTTTTTTATTTATGCCCCTTCTGTTTATCTCAAGGTTCTTGATAAAGTCCAGAGACGGACATGCAATATAATTGGCCCTGATCTGGCATCTCGTCTGCAGTCGCTCTCTCACAGACGCGCTGTCGCTTCCCTCTGTCTTTTTTACAAATATTAGCTGCTTTCGTTGGTTCCCAGACTTCATGAATTTAAGCGTTCTACTAGGCTGGCATCTCGCTCTCACCCTTTCACTGTGGATATTGTTAAATGTAGCCGTCTCTTCTACTCCAATAGCTTCATGTCTTGCACTTCTTGCCTGTGGAACTCCCTCCCCATTTCTTGTTTTCCTGATAGTTATAATCTCCAACTATTCAAATGTAATATCAATCGACGTCCAGTACTTTCTGCATTCTGTTGATGATATTTCTAATCTGATATTCTCTCTCTCTCTCTCTCTACATTCTCTCTCTCTCTCTCTTGACTGCCTTCTAGGACAAGGACAACTCTGAATACAAAACTTGGGGAGGGTTTTTAGGGAGCTTGTGGGGACCTTGTAATACGTAGTGCACCATCTCTGTATTCGGACATTCAAAAAGAGTTGTTGTTTTTGCACAAATGCTTCACCACTATGCTGGTGTCTGGGCTGTCGGTTTCTAGGAACTGACCTGTTTGCCCCTCGTCGAATACTAGAATATATATATATATATATACTAGCAGCATCGCCCGGCGTTGCCATGCTTGATTCAAAAATCGTACGACTCATACAGCAATCGCTATCACATATTCTTGCCCTTCCTTACCTTTAAAGGAGTGCCCTTTGCCGTGCTGATGTTGCTACATGCCTTACTTCTCGCCTGCGAATATTTTCGAAGCTCTATACTAAACATTAAGTCTATTACGAAAAAAGAACTAAACAAAATGAACACAAAACGATCAGCTTTAAAAAAGGACTCGTAACTGGAAAAACTGAATGAAAAAAGAATGTTAACAACAAATACTTTTCACACCCAACTCAGTTCTGCGAAATCAGAATCAATGTTGAGTTTAAGCATGCGAATGAACCAATTGTATTAATGTGCCATGCAGATTTAAATTTTTCCCACTTGTGACGAATGCAGCTATCGATTTTTTTTTGCATGCTAGCATGCTAGTTAACATTCATGTCAGTCAGCTATTCGCTCTCACTCTGGTCAGTACAAAATGGCCGCAAACTACATGAAAACTGCCGTAGAAGCATGAAAAAATCGATTATTTCCACTATGGATGGGATTTGGGAAATGCAAAGTCGTTCTTGGCCTTTCCGCTAACTTGAAGCATCTGTATGTAAATTTTGGTGCAAATCCGTCGAAAATTGCGGCCGTGCATTCGTTACACACACACACACACACACACACACACACACACACACACACACATCCTGCCATATATATATATATATATATATATATATATTTCTGTATTTAGGCAGCAATCCTTCTTTGATGCACATTTCATTGAAAACAACAAACAAAGTGCTTTTATTTAGTTTTTATACAATTTCTCATGCGAGAATAGAAACATAAACAATAATATTAATATTTTTTTATAAAAATCAGATGAACAAAAATTATAAACAGGATGAATGCGTAATTAAGAACATTAATAAAAAATGCATGATACCAGTTGACAATATCAAAAATATTAGATTAATTATTTATTATAAAAAAATTAAAAACCTCTAACCTTATATATGTAACCGTTCCCCCAAATAAGGCCAACTTAAACTTCATCTCCCGTTGTACGCAGAGGGCCGGCCTACATATGTTGATAATAACAGACTTCAAAATGTCGAGGTGGAGTCTGTTCCTAGCCCTGTGCAATACCGAAAAGAAATGGGGAGAATACTCAGTCCTACAAACACCAGAATTTAATAGATGTTCACCGATAGCAGACGCATGAGTGTGCGAACACCCGGATGTCACAAACTCATACCTGCGCACGCAGCCCGGGACATATTGGGCGATTCTAACCTCAAGCCTTTGGATAGTTTTGCCCACATAGTCGAGCCCGCATCGACATTTAAATTGATAAATAACTAAATTATTATGGTAGGTAGGCAAAACATCCTTACGGCAAGTGGGTAAAGCCCTCCTGGTAGTAAATATGTTCCTGACTGTAACGGCATTATAACACCGTTTAATGGATGAAGAGATCTTATCGGCGTATGTCTGACTCTCAGGACCAATCCAAGGGAGCCTGACATGTATAGGACATTTGGAAGGCGCATATTTTTTCATTTCATTGAACTTCCTGATCTTGCGTTCAATGACAGTTTTAATAACTGATTCGGGGTAACCGTTCTTAAGAAACAATTCCTTAATTGTTCTCAATTCGGCATCGAGTCTACACTCAGAACAAATCTTCAAATATATATATATATGAGACACAGAACAAATTGAAAACATTGGAAATATCATGTAAAACCGAACCCCCTGATAAACGAAAATCTCATCAGGTAACTTTGATGCTATCCACCGACTGTTTTACATTATCTCTAAATTAATATCGCCTTTTGATAAAGGAGAGTGGCGTGATTAAGTAAGGAGGCACGGATTGAGGAATCAGAGAGCCGAGTTTGAATTCCAGTCGAATCCATTACATTCAGTTACGTGTTAATACCCTTGGGAAAGGTATGAATCCTCTTTTTCTACAACCCCCACCCTCCAGTTATGGATAAATTGCACCACAGGTGAAGGTCCAGGAGATGGAAAAGCTCTGAATTCAAAACCGGCCTGGAGAGGGTTGGCCTCCGTCAAGCTGTCTTGCCCAAGAAACACCCGTCCTACCAAGGCTGCAGTGCACATAGTGCCGCTACGACCCTACGGGACATGGTATAAAAAAGGAAAAAAAAAAGTGGCGTGATTTTCCGTTAGCTTCTCCGCGGATTTTAAAGACAGACTCGAATGCTCCTCAAGGCCAGAGAAGGTATTATTTCCAAGTGAATGTATAGATGAGCACGTGATTTGAACCCATCCCGATATATACTCCACGCATCGATACACATTGTTACAGTCAGTACATGCAAACGTATGCCTTGATACTTGGAGTATTATGTAGGGACGTGTGTGTGTGTGTGTGTGTGTGTGTGTGTGTGTGTGTGTGTGTGTGTGTGTGTGTGTGTGTGTGTGTGTGTGTGTGTGATAGTCTGTGTGTGCGCCAAGAGGAAACAGACATATAAATCAATCAATGAATCGATTGTCTGATAAACTGAAGGGAAGAAAAAGGTCGTATATCTTAAAAGCATTGAACTATATCGGCGTAGACAGACTGATATAGATTTAAGCCTTTCGAGAGATAGATAGATAGATAGATAGATATGAACAGACTAAGATAGATAGATAGATAGATAGATAGATATAAACAGGCTGAGATAGATAGATTGATAGTTAGATAGATTGATATATGAACAGACTGTGATAGATAGATAGATAGATAGATAGATAGATAGATAGATAGATAGATAGATAGATTGTATCTAATTATTGATTACAGACAATAATAGATAAATACAGCCACAATGGGATGACTGTTTGCTAGTTCTATATTCTGCCAAATAAAGAAAGAAAGACATTATGGCCTCAATATAGTCGAGAATAGATAAATAGCTACTCTACGCTTCGATCTTTGAAGAGATCAATGAAAAATCGTTTGGCTCTATTCCCAAATTCCTTCGGCACTTAATGTTCCTATCAAAGGCATGTGTGTTCCCAAAGTGGCCATATTTTCGGAGGGGGGTGGTGGGGGTTTCTGGAAATGCAGTTTCTAAAATATAATTTGGTTAACATAAACAAACAGTAACTGAATCCATTTCGATCCATGAAAGTTTTTTTAGTTCTTTAGTATTTGTCTTCCTTCTTTACAATTCTCTTCCCACGTCTCATTGAAAAAGAAATTTTTGCCTTTCTTTTTCTTTATTGCTTAGTACTTTATCCCAGAAAAAAAATGCATTTTAGTTTGTAGTAAAATCAATTTTTATTCTTTTTTTTTTAGCCGCATTGTAGAATGATTCAAACGAGAACCGTTAGTCATAAAGAGCACGTGGCTGAGATACATACCTACCTATGTCTGTCTGTCTGTCTCCTCACTCTCTCCTTCTCCTCTCTCTCTCTCTCTCTCTCTCTCTCTCTCTCTATATATATATATATATATATATATATATATATATATACTGGGTGGGGGAAGTAAAATTCACAAAAGAAAGTTATTGTAAATTTTGATTCCCCTATATATATATATATATATATATATATATATATATATATATATATAATGTAAACTTACAGATCATATATATTTATATATATGTATATAAATACCTACGTCTCTCTCTCTCTCTCTCTCTCTCTCTCTATATATATATATATATATATATATATATATATATGTGTGTGTGTGTGCATATATATATATATATATATATATATATATATATATATATATATATATATATGCTCTGCAAATTTACATTGAGCACTGTTTTGTAAAATAAAAATATCAATAAGAATAGCATATTATATATCTTACTGTTCTTTCTTTTTTATAATATATATATATATATATATATATATATATATATATATACCTATATAACGCTCCTTTTCTCTCTCTAGGTACTAACTATTGACCTCTCCCACTCTCTCTCTCTCTCTCTCTCTCTAACTACCTACCTACCTACCTACCTACCTACCTACGGTTTCGAACCTCAGTCGAAACCAGAATTTGCCATGTTGATTTTCTCGCAAATAGGTAAGAAATTTTCTCTTCGAAGTTTCCCCCCCCCCAAACACGTTTCGTCTTTGGAGTTTATAGGTGTAAAAGGACAGAAAAATAAAAATACTATCCGAATGGGAGATCTCCATCGATTTCAGTTATTGTTATACCGGAACGTACCTATTTCTATTGTAAATAGACTCTCCCACAGATTAGTAGTAGTAGTAGTAGTAGTAGCAGTCACCAATGGGGCTCAGTGAGTTGTGTGAGTCAGTCGATGTCAAACATTAAAGGATGAGCCCCACAACTAGATTGCTTCGTCATTAACTATATTTCAAGTTCCTAACGTTTTGTATGTCGAACCTAATTTAGGACTGACTTAGTAAAATATAAGCTTCCACCGTGAAAATTACTCTACAACAGTTATACACACACACGCGCGCGCGCGCACACACACGCACACAAACACACATACATACATACATACATATATATATATATATATATATATATATATACAAGGTGATTGAAAAGTAACTCCCTATTTGACGTATGAGGTAGTCTCCCGTCTAACTATAATTTTTGCAACTTTATCATACATAAAATAGAGAGTTACTTTTCAATCACCCTGTGTATATATATATATATATATATATATATATATATATATATATAGATAGATAGATAGATATGAACAGACTGCGATAGATAGATAGATAGATAGATAGATATGAACAGACTGCGATAGATAGATATGAACAGACTGCGATAGATAGATAGATAGATAGATAGATAGATAGATATGAACAGATTTCGATACATATATATGAACAGACTGCAATACATAGACAGATTGTAAAAGCTGAACATATGAACAGAGATAGACATGAAGAGACTGCTATAGATCGATATGAACAGACTGCAATAGATAGATAGATAGATAGATAGATACGATTTGATTAAAAACAGATAGATAGATAGATAGATAGATAGATAGATAGATAGATAGATAGATGTAAATATTATCTTAAAAATATATAGCAGCTTTACGAAGCAGCTGTAATAAATTATTGAATGATTGGTGTTTTTACAGCTTATCAACCTTTTGCAGGTTATTTAGTCGCAGAAAAATATATTTAGATTATAATAATTCTGTTTTAGATAATAATGATTTGGTGATAGATGTCCTAATAAGTAACCCATAGACAGGGAGAGATGGCATGGATCAATGTCTTCCCCAAAATTATTTGCACGTAAGTGGATATAACGAACCCAGTTTGAAATGGATCTCGACTCTCCGATTTCCAACAGTCATCGATTACACCATCGTCCATCCAAGCTTACATCATCTAGTATCCCAAGCGGTCACCCATCGACATACTGACCAGGCCCGATGGCGCTTAACTGCGGTAAACGTACGGGAACCGATGATTCAAGTTGAGATGGCCGTAACCCTACAATAAATCAGACAAACATGTCAAATTTATAAAATACTTTTGTATTTGTTCATTATTTAACGATGCTGATTTGATCTCCTCTCTCTCTCTCTCTCTCTGTCTCTTTTCTCTCTCTCTCTCTCTCTCTCTCTCTCTCTCTCTCTCTCTATATATATATATATATATATATATATATATATATATATATAATTATTTATTTAGAAATTATAACATAAATATGTCTGAGGTCTCATCCTGGGTTAAAGCTGGAATCGACGCTTTCATCCCCTCTAGGAAATTCAATGTCAAGTCGCATTCCTCCCCTTGGTTCTCCGCTGCTTGCTCAGCCGCCATTGCCCATCGGAATCACTTCTTTCACATATTTCGTAGCGACATGTCGGACTGCAATAGACGTCTCTTTGCCTACGTCCGTAACGAGTATAAGCGTGTCCTCAACGAAGCTAAGTCAATATTTGCTGCTCGGATGAAGGAACGTATTGCATCTCGCAAATTTGGCTCCAAAGATTATTGGCGGGTCTGCAAGAGTGTCCTTAACAATAGAAAACCCTCCATACCTTCTTTATTCAACCAGTTCGAGGTCTTGACCTCCTCTACCGACAAGGCTGAATGCTTTGCTCGGAAATTCACATTTAATTCAACGCTCGACTCCACCGCTGTACGCATACCAGACTTCCCTCCAAGAACTGAGGCCCGATTGAGCGTCTTACACATAACCCCGTCATTGGTACTGGGCATTATCTCCAACTTAGACCCCCACAAGGCTAGTGGTGGAGATGGCATACCAGCCATTGTCTTGAAGAAATGCGCGCCTGAGCTAGCGCCCGCCCTCTCGAAACTGTATAATTACTGCCTCAAGGAATCCTGTTTTCCTGACTGCTGGGAGTCCTCATCCATTGTTCCTGTGTTTAATAACTCTGGACCCCTCTTACCCCTCTAATTACCGTCCTATTAGTCTCCTACCCCTCTTCGGCAAAGTCTTCGAAGCCCTAATCAATGCCGAAGTGGTTAATCACCTTACATCCCATAATCTGCTCTCAGACAAGCAATATGGTTTCCGCTACGCCCGATCTACAGCTGATGTGCTTACGGCCATCACTGAAACCGTCTACCAAGCCCTTCAAAATAACGATGAGGCTCGTGCCGTGGCCCTAGACATCTCCAAAGCATTCGATAGGTGTGGCACGCCGGCCTTCTTCGTAAGCTTCAGGGTTATGGTATTACTGGTCGACTGTTTGATCTAATACAATCATTCCTGTCAAACCGAGAATTGAAGGTCGTTCTCAACGGATTCTCCTCCAGTTCCTATCCCACGAACGCAGCTGTTCCCCAAGGCTCCATCCTTGGCCCCACTCTATTCCTTATTTTCATCAATGACCTTCCTGACGCCATAGATTCGCAAGATGGCATCTACGCAGACGACACTACAATTTACTCCTGCCTCAAAAACAAATCTAGTGTCGGCGGCAAAACTAACCTGGCCGTGCGTCTTGAAATGGACCTCCAATCGGTTGTTAACTGGGGCAAGAATTGGCTGGTCAACTTTAACGCCTCAAAAACTAAATTACTCTCCATTAACCACCATAGAGATCCTTCCCTGACCCCCCTTAAAATGTCTGATAGTCAACTTCCTGAGAGCAACTCCCTGCGTCTGCTCGGTCTCACGTTGACTGCTGACCTGAGATGGAACAAATACATTGAGTCAATTGCTTCTTCCACCGCGAGGAAAGTTGGCTCTCTGTGCCGCGCCAGGAAATTTTTCTCCCCAGAATCGATACTTCAAAACAAATATATATATATATATATATATATATATATATATATATATATATATATATATATATATATATATATATATATATATTTATACACGTTTCATTAAATAATATAGACAAGTGTTGTCTATTTATTTTATGTAAAATTTTTTCTGATAAGTTTTATAACATTATCATTAACCGAAAAAAGAAATTCACAATATTTATCCATTATTTTTTAATAAAATCTAAGCTTTCGGCTTACTCAAGCCATTATCAAAGATGTAAATACAAACATATCAAACAATATACGGACACGACAGTGATGATATAGTCTGTCATTGTTTTGTTTACATAGTGGATCACTAACAACGATGAACACGCGCATATAAGACGCTAGAAGCAAAAAATCGCACCGCATCTCATGACGTCACACATGACTACACAAGAGTGAATTGGAGAATGAAATAAGGAAAGCCGTTGGTATAACCAATGGCTTCTGTTACCAATTATTGAAATTATAGACATTTAAGAATATTTGTAGAGATTCCATAGTTGATTTTGTTTAGGTTGGGTTTTAACTGTTTGATGTATAATGCTTCAAGTATTTTTAGTTTTTGTCTATTGTTTTCATGTCGAAGTATAGTTGTGTTTTCGACAAGTATTTTACGGAATTGTGTGTGCGGGCAGGCATGTTGTTTTAAATGCAAACAAAACAATGACAGACTATATCATCACTGTCGTGTCCGTATATTGTTTGATATGTTTGTATTTACATCTTTGATAATGGCTTGAGTAAGCCGAAAGCTTAGATTTTATTAAAAAATAATGGATAAATATTGTGAATTTCTTTTTTCGGTTAATGATAATGTTATAAAACTTATCAGAAGATACGAAAAAATTTTACATAAAATAAATAGACAACACTTGTCTATATTATTTAATGAAACGTGTATAAAGGAAAATATGCTGCCTAAATACACACAATATATATATATATATATATATAGAGAGAGAGAGAGAGAGAGAGAGAAAGAGAAAGAGAGAGAGATAAATGTGAACACTGAGGTTAACACCGTGTGCTGACAGTCTTTTTACATACTTGAGCGCAATTTTCAGGCCATTTTGTCCTGAAGATTGCTTTGAAGCATGAACAGAGTGATAGTTTAAGTCTCTCGATTTTACGAATGCCTACTTGTTTCTTGCTTCTACTACCTGCTTCTTTAATGAGCATCATCATATATCGCTACGCTTACTATCCATCGAGACAGATCACACATCTTTTTCGGTGTATGTTGATAATTTTACACATTACTCCTATAGCATACAGAATTACATATGAATGATATACAGAGAAACTCAAAGTCAAATTCGTAATTTATTAATGATAGCATTTTACTAACAATTTCTGAAAAGGTGATCATTTGTAGTTATAAGGCCAAGTGTATTGGATATATTATATCGAGCTTTCTTTGTAATGTCATATACAGTAAAATATGATTCTGGATACACATATATAAGTCATATTCCATAAAATTGCACACACACATATATGATGGCCTCTATCCTGTCAATTTCGCCCTATGAAGATCCCACAGCCTCATTCAGTTTTTATGTTTGTGCCGTATGTAACACTTCACTCACTCTAGTGACCTGCATGTAATTCCCCATATTGTGCAACAACGAGGATCTCATGGCATAGCTACATGAATATTTGCTGATGTTTTTCGCTGTTGTCGTTTGTCCCTTAGCCGATTAATACGACTGATTTCGAAATTTTTGAAACAACTCTGGTACAAATATCATCAGTTATTTCTATCCCGGGCAACTCACTGAAATTTAGTATGAGACACATTAGCAGCTGAGTGGTTACTCTTTATTTTGTCCTTATACATGTGCCCAGGCCGTTCAACTTTGCTTTATCCACTGCCAAGCTGGCTAAACATGAGGACCTTAGATATTCTATCGCTATTCATTCTTGCAACATGACCAGCACAGCGAAGTTGTGACTGCACCAGGAAAGTCTCATTTCCACTAATAACATGTATTGAAAGGTCCATACAAATTGATACGCAATATATTCTAATTCACCAAATGTGCAGCTTATACAATTTTATAAAAAATCTTCATTCATCCAAATGTTATTTTACATTTTTAATGCAAATCGATTCCCACATCAGGTTAATTTTTAAAAGACACGACTATCCAACTAATTTTCACATGAAATAAGCAATTTATTAAAATTTAAAAAAAATTAATTTTTAAAAGACACGACTACCCACCTAATTTCCATATGAAATGACCAATTTATTAAAAATTTAAAAAATTTAATTTTTAAAAGACACGACTCTCCAACTAATTTTCATATGAAATAATCAACTTATTAAATTTTTTAAAAAAATTTAATTTCTAAAAGACACAATTATCCAACTAATTTTCATATGAAATAACCAATTTATTAAAATTTTTAAAAAATTTAATACTTAAAAGACACAACTATCCAACTAATTTTCACATGAAATAACCAATTTATTAAAATTTTAAAATGAAATAACCATGTGAAAATAACCAATTTATTAAAATTTTAAAATTTTTAATTTTTAAAAGACACTAATACACACCTTAATTTTTATATGAAATGACCAATTTATTAAAATTTTCAAATATATACAACCAACACTATCATCTAAATACTAGTCATCTTTTTAACAATTTATTGATTTTATTTTTTCAAGTTGTAACACAAAAACGATGTTGGTATTAAATGGCCCATGAAGAGTTGATGTGCCGAAAAATCAATCTCTTTATTTCTCTATTGCATTCTGCAAAGACATGTTCCTAAGCATAGTTCTACATGAAGTAACGTGAGTATGTTGTACTGTAGATGCTGATTTGTTTCTTAGAGTGCCTACCTTCTGGGCAAATTCCCCTACGATTCGTGATATCATCAAATACATTTTAAAACTCTCTTATCCTGCTTACGTATACAAAAAAGAATAACAAACGAGAATTTCAATATATTTCTGAGTAGAAACAATCAAATTCACAAGCGTAGACCAAACAAGCTGATTGGGGTGAAACAAATGAAGACATTTCCAAGTATAACTCATATCCATTAGACCATTTTTCAAACCCGGTTTTGGGCCATGCTCCATTTTGGTATTTCTAAAATTCTGCTGCCCGCCCCCAGTAACATTTAATTCTTACATGTTCAAAGTTTTACTGCAATTCACGTGAAGGAAGCTTAAAAGCCATTAACTTCGTCTCTAAACAAGCCTCCAAAGACTGTGGCGACCATGAAAGAGAAAAATTAAAAAAAAAAACAACAAAAAGACAGTTAAATATATATATATAGTTTCAAAACATATAATAGAGAACTGAATGGTAGAAATATAAAATATTTGAATGGAAGATTATTCTGTAATATACTTTGATCATTTTAATCATGAAATAATGATGCAAAATGAAATTTGAGCTCACGTTGGTATAGTAAGACGAAGGGTGCACATCCTACGCATACGCTACCAAAATATTACCATGCCTCAGCAGTGTAGCATCTGCTCTACGTTGGGAAGCATTGCCTTAGATATTTCGAAATTTTGACAACGTCTGGCACAAAGGTTTGCTGCCCAATTTCTCCAGCAATGGAATCACTGGAAGTGTCTTTTCAAGTATAAAGTCTTTCCTAATGTTTCGTTAACGACCAGTCCTCTGGGGCCCTAGCAGTCAACACAGGCGTGCCACAGTGACTTCTTGAACCAAACCTCTTTTTACTTTGATCATTTTAATCATGAAATAATAATGTAAAATGAAATTTGAGCTCACACTGGTATAGAAACTCGAGGGGTGCACATCCTACTCATGACCCACCAAAATATTACCATGCCCTACCGGTGGGGCCATGCACCTCAAGTTGAGAAACATTGCATTAGACTCTCCTTTAGGTTGATAAGGAGCTTTAAAATTTATCTTTATAAATAAGAATAAGAAAACAAAATTAGATTTATTATTCATAAAATTATTATCCTCTTCTAGACTTTTAATAATTGTTGGGTGGGGTGAGTATGTGTGTCATTTTTGCCTTTCTTCACACATTGATCTACTTTTCGCTTGTTGTTGTGGCCTGTTAGGGGCCAAAAAGAAAGGCACGGAAAGAAGAAGGTAGGTTGAACAAGTGTATTGAAATAATAGAACATATATAGAAAATAAGAGTATTATTAGCCAGCAGATAGAAGTGTCTCCGTCCGAAACTCTCAGATTGCACTGCGTCTCGACTGCTGATAATTAAGTCTCCCCACGCGGGATCTATGTGGCACAAGGCCTAGTTTGACGCCGATTTCTCCGAGCCCGTAGGCTCAACCAAAAATATTCCCTTAGAACCCGCATAAGCGGGTTCGGGATCTGTCTACCTTCGGCAAAGCTTCGTCCGGGTTCCTCTCTGTCGAGGCAGAGAGTTCGACATAAGTCGAACACAGTCAGAGACTGCGTCTCGACTGCCTCCTTAGGAAATCTCGCAGGTTAGTATTTATGAAGGAGGAAGAGTTCATTTTAAGGTAGATAGGTCACTATAACACTTATATAACGTTCTATCATCCCGGATGTGCATATCCTAAGCTCAGCTGGGTCAACCTCTTGTTTATATGTGGTGTGCACTAATTGACATACTTTGAAGTCCAATTCTCCAATTGGTGGTTATGGGATGACCATCCAACTCGCTTACTTCCTTGATGAACTGGTTTGCCAGAAAATAAGGAGTACTTTGATATGTCTTCGGGAGTGCCCAATATATAGTACTGCCACCACAGATCAATTCTTTTTAAAAGAAAGTTTGCTAACTGATACTAAATTCGATTCAAAATTCTGAATATTTCCTTGCGTGACTTATATACTCGCTAAGAATGTCGAGCCTACGTTAAAAGTTAGTATACGAAATCGTTTCTGTTTGACTCTTGCACTGACCTCTCGTGCCCAGTAGGCAAGTGAATTATGGGAAAGAAAGCAGACCCCTGACTGTCTGAGCTATTTTCCTTTGAACAGATAACGATTCGTTGTTCTGGCGGTGACTGGAGGATTTTGCCATTGCATAGCATTTTCCATTTGTTTTCATTTTTTCATTTATTTCCCGTCCTGATTCATCTTCCAACCCCGAAAAAGATCAAAAATGGATAATTGCTTCTCAATATTTATCGTTATCGTCTCAGAATGAAATCAGCAGCCATTGTTTATTTGCCTTGTTTTCGTGGCCAAATAATTTTACGTAGTGTTAGGTACACACCTATATATATATATATATATATATATATATATATATATTAAGAAATGGACAAAGACCGATAATTTATTTATTAAAGACATTTTTATGTTTAACGTTCTTTTTTATAGATACAAGTATTTAAGTAAATGCTCTGTTTATAATAAACAGTATTAAATAACATTTACCGGCCTGAATGTCCGAGAAATTTTCATAGAAAATATTCGTCCTTTGACAGGATTCGGACCTGCATCCTATACGGAACCGTCATTTACGCTGACGTGCCTTAAGCGATTCGGCCACAAATATAGATAACTATACTCGTTTCGAAAAACCCTCGAATTTTTGATTTGCCAATAACCAAATCAATCTCGAGGGAAAAAAGGTTTTAAAAAAAGAAAGAGCTAGAAACATGAAAGTCTGTGGAAAAAAATCGCACAGATACAGGTTTGAAGCCCAAAGAAAAACCCCGATACGAATAAACAACTAACTAACAAAAGAGCTCAATACAACCGTAGAGCAGACCTAGATAAACCTAGTGAGCCAGACAAACAGTTTGTCTGGCTCACTAGGTTTATCTATACATACATATATATATATATATATATATAAACGCACACATATATAACATAACGTTTCAATACATATATATATATATATATATATATATATATACACTGCGTGCCAAATTATTATCGAGATAACTTTTTTCTAATATTTCAAAAATCGTCCAATCAATTCACACAAAATTTTCACACAGTATTGGCAACACAAACCTGCGCAATCACTGAAATTTTCGTACTGATCTGCGCAATGTAAACAAACTGGCGCCATATTTGTTATCAGCACGGTGATTTGAGCGTGCCAAATTATTAGAAAAGGAAAAATAGCGTCTCTAATCTCCCAGAATATAACCCAATCGAAACACACGCATACATTGCCACAAACATAAACAGATTCACATACATACACAAAGAAACCAAAATGTTTAGGCATTACAATGAAAGTTTAAAATAGCTTTTCAAAATTATAGAATTATAATTTGGGAATTAAGAAGTTGAGAAAAACTTTACCGCCTCCAAAATGAAATTTTAACTATCATAGAGAACCATTTTTGCCCTGCATAAACATGGTTTGTGCTAAACAATTCTCAGGAATTGGAGTGATTATATTAAATCAATTACTCGGTCTGCTGTTAAGAAGATTGGTTAAGTGTGTCGTGCCAAACAATTAAAAATCTATCACTCCTCAGTTCATGGAATATTGCTGCTATATCTATTTTTTGTGATGTCACCGAACACATGTTGCCACTTTCATAATGCCAAACTCGTTGTCACTTTCGTAATGACCGTTGTAGTAGAGACTTTGTAATCGCAGATAAATCTATAGTAACGCCGTTGAACAATGCCGGTGTCTTACGCCTTCGAATAACACTCGCACAAATAGTACTTGCTCGATAATACTCGCTGGTCTAGTAACCACCGTAGTGATCCGAATAGAAGAATAATATAGTGAATAGAGTAGAGAATAGCGGTCCATATAGAATAGAGGATAGACTAGAAAATGTGATCCATTTACTATAGAGGATAAGCTAGAAATAGCGATATTTTAGATGTCACGCGATTTCATATTAATATACGTTTCCTCTATGGTCACGTGGTTTGCTTAATTCAATAATGGCATTGCCTTGTCTACTGGCGATCTATGTTCAAACTCAAAACTCAAAATCCAAAGAAGGCTGTTATCGGTCCTGACCTGGCATCTCGATTTACGTCACTTACCCACTGCCATGGCTTCCCTTTGTCTTTTCTATAATTTCATTGCTGATGTTCTTATGAGTTGTTCCCCCTGGTATCTGGACCGCTTGAATTTAAGCCTACCACAAGATTGACTATTAGGTTCCATCGTTATACTGTTGAAATGGCTAGGTGTAACTTAACATCCTATTCCAATTGTTCTTTTCTCGTACTTCTCATCTGTGGAACGTTTTTTCCGTTTTCTGGATTCCCCACAACATACAATCTTCAAAGAGTTAAATGCAACGTAAACATAAATGTATTTTTTTTCTTCTTGAGATATGTTCTTTTATTGTCTTTTCTCGTCACTTAATTATTCTTATTCTTTTTCCAGTAACCCCTTGCATCTTAGTGGCGTTATCGCCTTGCTTGGGGTGAAATGATTTAAAACAAATAAAACGAGGACTCAACTTATGTGCAACGAGAAAGTTTTAAGAAAATTCAGAAAAAACTCTTTACCCTGAGGTAAGAAAGCGCTACACGCTTAATGGATATTTCACGTGTTTAGATAAATCTATTACAGGTTTAAAATTGAGTTAACAGAAGTCGAATGCTATAACAAATTGTAATGTAGAACACAGTGAGCTCGCAAGCTCACATTTGACATTATTGGAACATTTTCCAAGAAATATGTGCCAAATCTAGTCTGAAAATAGACAGTCTCAGAATAAAACTACTCGAACATTCAGAGTCTGTCTATATTTCTGAGATGAGGTATTATGTACAGTATTTACATTAGTCGGACTATTGTCCTCATCTTTGACGCCATATTTGTCACAACGTTTCGGCCATTGTACGCTCTGTGGTTGGAATTTCGAACTGAACCCTTTATTTCTATCACTGGGGTAGACTGTTCTAAGGAGATAACTGATAACTGACATCCATCAAACATGGAACGTGGAACTAGAACAGTCTACCCCAGTGATCGAAATAAAGGGTTCAGTTCGAAATTCCAACCACCTGAAGACGGCCGGAGCGTACAACGGCCGAAACGTTGTGACAAATATGGCGACAAAGATGAGGACAATAGTCCGACTAATGTAAATACTGTACTCGAACATTGTTTAAATGCTAGTATTTGTCAGGTTATAATCGTTTGAATTTAATTAAAAACTTGAACAATTTTTAATCATTAATTTTTTTAAATGATCGTTTTTTGGGGATTTTTTTTTTTTTTGCTCGCAAAATTATTAGAATCTTGTTGACATGAATGTTATAAGTGGCAGATAAGTTTAACTCGACAATTATTTTAAAAAAATTGACCTACGTAATGTGGCGTTTATAGCCAAGCAAACCAGTCAAATCTGCAAATGTTTCGCCATATTTTGCCTGCTTTTTTGTCTCTGATACTATCAATACGAACAACGCTAATGTCGCAGATAAATTTGTTCTACATTTTAATGTACGTTCCCGAATATTTAATTAAATTTGTCAGTATATCCAACTAATTTTTTCTAGGGGCAACACATGGTCCATTGGATAAAGACGTTAGTTAAATCCAGTGACGAGATCCACAGCAGTGTTGAACCAAAACATGGAGAGTTGAGTTAAAGGGAAATAACTGAGACATCCGGAAGAGGCATGGCACGTGGAACTAGAACAATCTACCCCGGTGGACGAAATGAAGAGTTCAGTTCGAAATTACAATCACCTGAAGAAGGTCGGAGCATGCAACGGCCGAAACGTTTACGTTATAATTTCCCTTTGTATTTATCGGGAAATCGTGGTCTATATCTGTTTTGAGATACCCTGGATCCATGTTTAGCACTGAAAACCCCCCAAATATGGAAAAATACAGAGAAATGTAAAATGTTCAAGGATTACAATGAAAGTGGTAAATAGCACTATAACTACGAATTACGCTAAGAAAACACTGTCGGAGATAATTTTGCTCTACTCTTTCCTGTACGTTCACAAATATTAACACAATTTAAATGTTAAGTTTATCTAGCAATATTGTTCTCGGGGAGATATTTAAAACAGGGGTCAGTTCTATTCATAACGTGGAACTTGATCATTACCCGCTTTTAGCACGGTAGCACCAAATACCAGTCTTCGCTATAATTTCCTTTGTATTTATCAGAAAATAATGATCTAGATCTCTATTCCGATGTTTTGAGGAACCCTGCTCCATGTTCGACACTGAAAATCCAAAAATATAAATGTCTAAATGTGTTAAATGCAAAATTAACCTCTTTTCGGAAATTTGGACTCGACATTTCCAGACAGAAGCCACTAATTTTTTTTTTTTAGAAATGTGAAATTTTCGCTTAATCTTTAAGGACAAATGACATTAAATCAATTTTTTAACTCAAGAAACACAGATCTAAGGAAGGAACAGAGACCTTCTTCCTTTTAGTTTACTTCTCGCCTATAGGATGCGTTAGATATAAGATGTTGCCCAGTTTTTCCAACAGAGACAATTATAGACATTCGGCCTTTCGCCAAACTACGTAACACACACACACACAGAGAGAGAGACGCGCGGATGTACACACATATACACTACGCTCATCCGATGGGGGAGAAAGCAAAAAAGAAGAACAGGGTTTTATCTCTCCCTCGCTAATTACCACGCCTCCTAGCGGCATTTATTGAAGTCCGTTGTCACACAAAGTTGGGTAATCTCACAGAGAGCAAATTATAAAACCGAAAAATATGTCGTCCGAAATTTTGTGTCAACACCAACAGAATTAGAGACAAAGTTGTGGAAAGCCATGACCGTTCACAGATTGAAGGGACACACTTTACAGAAGAAGGTTGCTGAGAAAATGTAAAATAATTGTTGAATACAATAATTTGATCAATATATAGAATAAAGAAAAGATTTTTGTGTGAGGATCTCATAAAGTAAAAGAAGGCTAAAGAATAAATCAGCCAAAATACGGTCGTTATAACAACATAAAGGAAGACAATAACTCAAATAATAAATACAATAATGAAAATACAGCGTGTTTCAAAAAGAATACGCCAAAATCATTACGCTGTTTTTCAGGTCTATAGCATTGTAGTGGACTGAATCAGTGGTTATTTGATAGAGTAG